TAAGTATTTTTACATGATTAAATTTTAAGAAAATAAAAAAAATTTTAAAAAGAACAAAATAAAACATTAATAATTTTTTTAGAATAAATAATAATTATCTAATGATGAAATTTTTCAAAATTGTAAAAGGTTAATTTCTATAAAATTTCTATGTGAGAATTTTTAAATTTTTTAAATATGTCCTAAATAGAGGAAAATTTAGATAAAATTTTAATAAAATAATTAATATTTATTTTCAAAAATTAAAAAAAATAAATTTAATAAAACTTTAGAATTAAAATACTAATTACTCAATGATGAGATTATTAAAAATTTTAAATAGTAAATTTTTTAAGAAATCTCTATATAAAGAATTTCTCTAAATTTGATCCAAATGGTGAATAATTTAGATGAAATTTTAATAAAAGTAATTGCATTCTTTTCCAAATAAAAAAATATAACTTGAAATTGTGGGGAAAAAATATTTGACAATTATTCAAAGATGAGAATTTTAGAAATTTAAAATGGTAAATCTTTTAAAAAATTTTTAGGTGAGAAATTTCTTTAAATTTATTCCAAATGATAGAAAAATTTAAGTAAAACTTCAAAAATAATTCTCATATTATTTTTTTTCCAAAGCTTAGGAAACTGACAAAGGTTTTTTTTTTTTTTTCTAAATAGACTCAAATGGTAAAAATTTAGAAATAAAACTTGTAAAATAAAAAAATAAATTTCGAAGATGAAATTCTTAGTTATCACAAATGGATGATTATTTAAGATATTTCTAAGTGAAAAAAATATTTTTAATTTGACCCAAATTATGGAAAATTAGATATATTTTTAATAAAAAATCAAAAAAATAAAAAATGATTAAATCTTTTTCTAATGACAGAGCTTCTTCAAGAAAACAAATGGGATTCTTGAATACTTTTAAGACGAGAAAATATTTTTAAGAATTCTATCAAATTGATGAAAAAATTTTAAGAGTTATTTTTAATATTAAATTTAAGAGCATTGGAATCAAGATTTTAGGATAATTTAAAATAAAATGGTATTGTCTTTTGGATGGCATGTGGGGGTGATATAACTTTTCCTATATATAATCAAACTCTCGAACATTATTTTGATTAATATACCAGAATTTATTTTTTTAGAGACTTTTAGTCAAGCTTAAGAGCTTCTTAAAAGGATAGATTCATTAGGTGATCAATCACACTTTAATAAAAGATTAATGGCAACTCCTCTTGTTAAGTCTAGTTATAGATTTACGGATCTATATGTTATGACAATGACCTTAAGTTAATAGGTTGGGAACCAGCTTTAAGGAGAATATTGTGATTATGGCTCCTTTCTGGTGGAAGCCTTTTGGTTCATTAAACACATTAGAATAAGAGAAGAGCAAATTCTACAGTTTTTTAGGAATTTTTGTCTTACCACAATCAACATTTATCATGTACAACTCCTATATAAGCCTCAAATCTTTTCTTGCTAGCTTTTATAATTTTTCACCAGAGATGAGTTTAAATGTTCCATGTGGTTGCCCATCCTTCAATGTTACCTGTTGCCCTTCTTTTTGAAATGAAAGAGATAGTTCATTGAAATCAATAGTCAATGGGCTATACATTTTCATCCAGTCAACTCCAAGAACCATATCACTTCCTCTCATAGGTAAAACCCTTAGATCATGAGTAAATAAATGGCCCTGCATCAACCATTCTAGTTGGTGGCACTTAGTTGTACTGTAAAATTTCTCTCCATTAACTACAATTATCGCTAAAGGGTTTGTGTGCAGTAACTCCACTCCTTCTTTGGCCCATCGAGGACTAATAAAACTATGTGTGCTTCCACTGTCAACTAGCACATTAATAGGTTTGCCCTTGATACTTGTATTCTTAAAGTACTATGTCCCACATTACCAGTTAATGCATTGATAGAGATTTCCAAGCTTCCTTTTGTGTTGATCGATTTTTCACTACCATCCTATTCAGCTTCAGTTGGTTCAGTTTCTAATGTCTCCAATTCAATAGCTTGTTCTTTAGCAGTAACAGAGTTGAGTTGTTTGTTCTTAAAAGTATGCCCTGGGGTGAACTTTTCTCCACTTTTGAAACATAAGTTCTGTGATCCCCTTTGTTCCATGAGTAAGTTTCTTTTTAAATTTGGTAAGTTGTTTACGGTAGCTTTTGGTGTTTGGATTAGGAAGGTTTGTGTAGGTTTCTAGTAAGTAGTGGTGTGTTGAGTTGGCTTAAGAAACTCTCTGCCTTTTACTTTCGACCTCAATAGATAGCTCATGAAGCTTGGCCTGTCTAAAGGCTACAGTCAATGTGGTAAGGTCATTGGCCTTGACTCTAGTTTTAATATCTTTTTTTAACCCACTTACAAAACTGGAAACAAAGTAATTTTCTAGGAAGTTGGGATTATATTACAACATATAAGATCTCAACTCCTCAAATTTCTCTTGATTTAACTATTGCGCACAATGCCAAGACAATGATGGGAGCTAGTTCACCAGAGAATGAGGCACATGAAGAAGCTGATCACAAAAATGGTACAAGTAAGCTTAATGGAACAGATTCTAGAAGAAAGAAAAGATAGGTAACTTGCAAACCATTAAGAATATTGCTCTTTTACTATTGGTCCCTTGTATTTAGCATTACTGTTACTAGTGCCAGTACATATAAAACATATTCTGTAAACATGAAATTCATGAAGGAAGTTATTATCAGTTTTTTTTACCATTGCCTTCTGCTGTTTATGTTTCCCTAGTTTTTAGTAGTTGAATCTTTCGAAGCACTAATACCAATTTGTCACGGTTTTAATTGGTAAAGGTTGAGAATAACAAGGAATAAGAAAAACAGAAATGATAAAGGATGAGAATAAGAGAGATTATGAATGAATAGAAAGGAAATAGAGAACAAGGAGGTTGAATTTTAGAAAGAGAAGAAATTGATAATAACTTCCTACATGAATTTCATGTTTACAGAATATATTTTTATATGTACTACCACTACTGACAGTAATGCTAAATACAATGGACCAATTGTAAAAGAGCAATATTCTCAACTGTCTGCCAGTTACCTATTCTTCCTTTCTTCTAGAATCTATTCTATTAAGCTTCTTTGTACTATTTTTGTGATCAGCTCCCTCACGTGCCTAATTTTCTGGTGAATCAGCTCTCATCATTGTCTTGGCATTATGCGCAGCAGTTAAATTCATGACAGCAACAACCTTCATAAGTGGAGCTCTACAAGGAGATAGAGGCAACGTCTTGAAATTACGAAGAACTTCGTTTGATGCAGCCAACGTAGCTGACCTAGAAAATCTAAGTAAAATGCAATTTCAAGGAAAGTTTAGTGGAACAATATGTGTTCCCACATAAATATATATCCAGAATGCGACTATTAGCAGCGAGCATTTTCAAGCTTTTACACTAAAGTCAAACCAAAATAATGAAATGAAAGTAGCGAAAGGGTTTAAATAAATAATTTTTACCTCCAACTAAGAATACATGATGAATTGCAATTATAGTAAAATTTTTCTTAATTAATATTGGACTTATTCATCAAATAAATAATTTTTACCTCCAACAAAGAATACATGATGAATCGCAATTATGGTAAAGTTTTTCTTAATTAATATTTGACTTATTCAACAAGTAATCACTTGCATAAAACAGTTAGCTTAGGAGGCTAGGATTTGAATTGGTTTTGTGTATTTTGATTTTTTTAATGTAATAAATAATTTTTAAATTATAATAAAATATTTAATATAGTATCTAAATTTTAAAATTTTTAATTTAATTTTTGAACTATTAATTTATTTAATAATGTGATATTTAAAAAATTATTTATTTGTCAAATGTCATTTAAAACTAATATTACGGGTGAATAATACATTAATTAATAAATTTATAATTTAAATATCATATTAAAAATTTTTTAAGTTTAAGTCTCATATTAAATATTTTATTTTAATTTAAGAACCATTCATGATAAAATAATGAATTTAACTTATATTAGCAAGACTTAAATTAGTAAATTGATATAATAATAAGATGACTCAATTTTTTATAAATTATAAATTATATTAGATGGAAGAAATCTTAAATTTTAAATTAAAGAAGAAACTAATTGCATAAATTTGTACAGTTTTTTTTCTATAGCAAGTATGAAATTTCCAAATTAATTCCACTCATAGCCATGCAAGAGTAAGGAAGTCGTTGGATTATCGTTTAGACGAAAGCGAAAGCCAGAATAAATAAACGTTTTAATTGTGGGTATAATTTTTGTTTTTCTTTATTGTTCAGTCTATTTCAGCCGCCATTAGTTTAAGAAAGTTAACGGTGTATCATGCGTACAAGCCGTGTTCTAATTACGTAATTGGAAAATAAAGTAGAAATCTCTCAATTGAAATTGGAATAGTAGAAGCAGGTTAAAACTTAAAAAATGGAAAGACGATTATTATTATTTGATGCAGCGGAGTTTAATTAAATAATTTAGGAATGAAATTTATTAATTTATAATAGGTTAATTTGTTCATAAATATAATATTAATATTTAATATCAAATTTGTATACAACAAGAAAGACAAATAATAAGAATAAAAATTATAAATTATAAACTTAATAATTTTAAATAAAATATGATAAGATGATATGATATGAAAAAAATATATAAAATATAGTTTAAAATTTTTTTAAAAAATTATGTATAAATTAACTAAAAATCAATATATATTTTATGTTTGATATATCGTATAAATTAAGACATAAATTTAATATTTTACGCGTATTTATACCTAATTATCAAGTTTAAGCTTGACCAGTTGTATATTAAAATATTTGGTCACCCACGTGATTTCCTTTGCAATGGAATGGTTGTGAGTTGTGACCTTTTTCTCTTTCAGTCAGCCATTCTTCAGTCTTTTAGTCCACTTACTCGAGCCTTACGCGTGGATTCCTTTGGCCCACGTCTATCACCGTGTCCTTCCTTGGCTCAGACCGATACTTATAGGGAAGAATTTTGTCTTCCTTGCCATCCATACATCGCAAAAACGCCCCCATGAAATCTCCGACCAGGCATCATATTCTTCTCTTCTTCTTCTTTATCAATTATCTTAGATTCACAAATGCCAAAAATATCTTCCTTAATTGTGGTTCCCCTAGTAACTCGATTGGCCTTGATGGCCATGAATGGACCAGTGACTCTAGCACTGGTTCAAAATTTATTGCATCAGAGCAATCAAATGACACATCTATTGTCTCAAAACCCATTTCCTTACAGCCCTCTATTGATCCAATTCCCTATATGACTGCTCGAATTTTTCGGTCTCCATTCACTTACTCTTTTCCGGTTAGTCCAGGCCAAAAATTTGTGCGCTTATATTTTAATCCTAGTTCTTACCAAGGTTTTCAAATGTCTACAGCTTCCTTCACTGTTTCTGCTGGGTCATTCACTCTTCTTAGCCACTTTAGTCCTTCTCTGGCTGCTGATTCTTTAGGATTGAAAACTCTGGTGAAAGAATTCTGTTTAAACATAGAAGAAAGCCAGGTTTTAGATATAACGTTTACTCCTTCTTCGACTCCTTTGGGTGCTTATGCTTTCATAAATGGGATTGCGATTGTCTCTATGCCCACTAATCTTTATTACACAGGCTCAAGACCTAGACGCATACATGGTTCTGGCTTGCGAAATCGTTTTGCTGTTGAAAACAATACAGCCCTTGAAATGATTCTCAGGCTAAACGTTGGTGGGAGTTCTATTTCACCAGCAAATGACTCAGGCTTGTATCGGGAATGGTTAGAGGACCAGGCCTATTTTCGAGGTTCAGGTGATTGGCTTCTCAATACAACTATTAGAATCAAATACTTCAAAATTGCACCTTACGTAGCACCTGCAGAGGTCTATCAAACAGCCCGGTCTACAAAAAGATGGAAGAGTCTTTTCTGGAATTTGAGAGTTGATTCAGGGTTTACATACCTGGTAAGACTTCACTTATGTGAGCTTCAGCCAGAGGTGACAAAGCGTGGAAGCAGGAAGGTCCTTGTTAGAATTGGAAATGGAAAGACTGAGGCTAAGGCAGATGAGATCACTTGGGGTGGGGGCACAGGAATTGCTGTATACAGAGACTATGTTGTCAAGATGCCAAATGAAGGAAATGCTGGTAAGACTGATCTTGTCATAACTTTGGGAAACAACACCAAGTTACGAGCTCTAAACTCTGATCCTGTCCTAAATGGTTTGGAAGTGTTCAAACTCAGTGACTTTCAAGGCAATCTCGCTGGACCAAATCCTGTTTCCAAGATTCCACCAATCCCAAGTCCACGAGCCAACAAGCCTCAGGACAGAAAATTGGCATTCATCATTGGTGGGGCGACGCTGGCTGCTTTCACTGTAATCTTGCCAATTGGTCTCACTATTTTCTGTCTTTTGAGGAGAGGGAAAAGCAACGGGAAGGACAAGTCAGTGGTAACGAGTGAACTTTGCAGACGTTTCACATTTGAAGAGCTCCAAAATGCCACCAACAGCTTTGATAGAGCTCTAGTTATTGGCAGTGGTGGTTTTGGTAGAGTTTTCAAAGGTTGCATAGACGGTGAAATTCCAGTTGCTATAAAGGCCCTGAAGCCAACGTCAACTCAAGGTTCCAAGGAGTTTGAGGCAGAGATTAAAATGCTATCCGATCTCCGGCACCCGCATCTTGTGTCGCTGATAGGTTTCTGTGATGAAGGGGTCAAGATCCTTGTTTACGACTACATGCCACGGGGAACCCTCCGGGATCATCTCTACAGCACAGAGGGTCCTCCATTATCATGGATACAAAGGCTTGAAATCTGCATTGGTGTTGCCCGTGGCCTAAAATACCTCCATGACGAAAACCCCACCATCATCCACAGGGATATCAAGCCAAGCAACATTCTCTTAGACGAGAACTGGGTTGCCAAGGTCTCAGATTTTGGTCTATCCAGATTTGGCCCAACGAGCTTATCGCGCAGCCATGTCACAACTGGTGTTAAGGGTACCTTTGGATATTTGGACCCTGATTATTTTCAAACTTACCACCTATCAGTGAAATCCGATGTGTATAGCTTTGGGGTAGTTTTATTTGAGATGTTATGTGCTCGACCAGCAGTGGATTCGAGGCTAGATGATGAACAGCAAAGCCTGGCAGAGTGGGTTCGACAACGCATTAAAGCTTGCAAGCTTAAACAGATTATTGATCCCAATCTAAAAGGTCAGATTGCTCCAGGCTGCTTGAAAGCGTATGTGAGTATTGCTTTAAAGTGCCTTAACGATGATAGGCATAAACGGCCTACAATGGCTGCTGTGTTAAGTAAACTTAAGAATGCTTTAAAGTTACAAGAGTGCACTGATGCTGCTTTGAATGATGAAGAAACCATTAACAGCAATGACATGGAGATTGTTTTAAGACCAAGCAACAATTCCAAGGTGGTGCATTCTTGTCCAACATTTTGGAACAAAAGAATTTCTCACAAGGAATTATTCAGGTTTCTCAGTGACAAGGCAGGATTGAAATGGGGTAGACCACCTGCCCTGTGTCGTCTCCAGGCCTCGTATTGTACTGTTCCATCTTATGGTGCCTTGCCACGCGATGGTCAAAAGAGCAACTCGAGTGATTGTGGGGTGTATGGGACATCAGGGAGGGTTATGGTTCCAATTTTATGGGACGATGATGATATTTTCAATTTATGAGTATATAAGAAGTAGATTTTATTTCGTTCACTATAGTTTTGTATTCCCCTGCAACTTTATGTGAAGTTGTTTCAACCTTAAGCTCGTACAAGGGCGGGCGAGTAAAGTGTGGAATATGTGGAACTGAATAGTAGGAGTAAATTAAATACTTTGCCTTCTTTTCCAAAGTTGTTGCAAATTGCAATATAAAAACATCAATAATTGTCCTTTAAAGATATAGGGAATCAAAGCTACCAAACCCTTTACGTAAAATAATGCTGTTCTTCACATAAAGAAAACAATTTAATCCTTCTGATAACGCCCTGTCAGATGACTTTAACAGCATGTCAACATCTATATCAAATGGTTTGGACACTACTCCCCCGCAAGGGTTATATATATGGTTAACCCATGGGCTTATTTGTCAAGGATGATGATAGAAGTCTCATCGGAATGTTTGGGCATCAACATCTCTAGAATTTTGAGCGCAATGGCCGTAGGCCTGCTGGTAGAGGCTATCTGATTTTTGGTAAGAAAACCAATTATTAGGGTCTCCATCCATATTTAATGGTTTCCTCCTTGTGGCATATTCACATTGATATATTCATCCATGATCCAACTTCACGAATTATTAAAATTACAACTATGATGATCATTGTAGACATTAAATTTATTCAATTTTTTTTAATTGGGTGTTGGTTTAATATAAGCCAAATATAGAATTCTCGGGTCGAGGCCCGATTTTGATTCAATAAGACCAGGGCTCAATTTTGATTGGGCTCGAGACTCAATTTTGTTCTTTAAGCCCAAAGCCTACTTATCTTTTATTTTATTTATTTTTTTACATTAATATTAATTTATTAATTAAACACAACAAAATACAACAAAAACAAAAGAAAAAAAAAAGCAAAACAAATAAAAAATACAAAAAAAGGAGAGTAGAAAGCAGGGGGTTAGTGCCAGTGGATGCCGTGCACGGCACTACTACTAGCCCCTGTCCAGTCCCTTCACCAGAGCACTGTAGCCCCATCAACAACCCTGACCACCATGCTAAAAGCCCCATGCCCTGTCAATCTTAAATCTCTACAAAGCTAATTTAAACTCCAAATCAAATGAAGACCCTTAGACACAGACACAGGCATAGATACAAGCACCCAAGCTTTTCAATACCCAGAAACCTTTGAGTTCCCTACACCCAGAAATCTTTAACACATGCCCACAAACCCGAGGCTCCACCCTCACCCAACACTTTACTCAGCCACATCCAAGCCCCACGAGTCCTTACCCTCTAACTCAGACATTGACCAAGCCAAAAACCCTTTACCCATCAGAAAACAAAAAAACCAAAAAAAAAAAAAACAACACAGTCATCGCTAATTAGGTAAGAAACCAATAGCACCGAGCTACTTGCAAAGAACAAAGAAATTGTATTAGTTTTAGTTTTACGAAAAAAAAAAAAAAGAAAGGAAAACATAAAACTTCAAACCCTAATCTAGATTGATCAAGGCTATTTTTGGTGAAAGGAAGACTCGATCTAGAAAGATCGCGTTAAAGAGAGCTTTCAAATTTTTTTTTCATTTTTCAATCATCGATTACGATTAACAACAACCATCGATGGCGACCACCGATGACAACCTCAGGTGGAGGCCAGTGGGACGACAAGGTGCTGGATTTCGATGAGGCTAGAGAATTTTTTTTTAAGGCTGAGACTTTTTTTATGAAAAAAAAGAGAAAATGATCTGAAAAAAAAAGTTGGCTTTTATATAAAAAAAACAAAGAAGCAAAACGATGTCGTTTAAAAGGGGAATGATCCACGTGTGCCCATGACCAGACCTGAGATCTGCAACCAACCAGTTGACCTGCTTTCTTCAACAGCCTTGAACATGTTCAATTAGATCAGACCGAATGGCCAAATTACCAAACTAACTGAACCAATGAAACTAGTGTTAACCAGACCGTTAATTGGTCCGGTTCAAGTAAATTTTTTATTATTTTATATTATATATATATTATTTATATCATTTTTTACTCCATTATTGCATGTTTAAACTTTTAGAATTTATCATTTTATAATAATACTAATAATAATAAAGAATAAATTTTTTGAAAACTTTTGATTCTTTTTAATTTTGTTTAAGAATAATGACCCAAGTTTTAAATAATACTCATAAAATAAGTATAAATAATCATAAAATAAATTAGTAATAAGAAAATTTTTCCTGCCTAGATGTTGGAGGGAACTTAATCATGTTTTAAATAATGATAATTTCAGCTAGATGTTGGAAAATTATTATTATTATAAAAAAAACAAAGACAACATCACTAAATAAATTGGTAATTTTATTAATAATAAGTTATTATAAAAAGAAAAATATATGATATTTTTTAATTATTTTCAAATTTTATAAAAATTTAACTTGCTTCGAAAGTCTGCCTAAATGTTGAAGATTTTTAAAGATTTTCATGTTTTTAAAAAAAATAAAATAGAATAATAAAAATAATGATAATAATAAAAACCAAAAAACCCTCCGAACCTAAAATCAAAACCCTAAATCCTCCAAACCCTAAAATCAAAACTTCAAACCTAAAATCTTAAGATCGAAACCCCAAACCTCAAACCCTAATATCGAAACCATAAATTTTCCAAACCCTAAAACTAAAACCCTAAACTCCAAACCTTAAAATCAAAACCCTAAACATTGAAACTCCAAAATTGAAACTTTAAAATCAAACCCCAAACACTTGAAACTTTAAACTTCCAATCCTAGACCTTAAAATCAAAAACCTAAACGCCAAACTCTGAAACTCGAAACTCGAAACCTTAACCTTAAAATCTAAAATCTCAAACCCTAAAATTTGAAACCTTAAAATCCAAAAATCTAAAAACCTATGCAATCTTGAATCATCACTTAAAAAGTCACCAAACCTTAAAACTTCAACCTAGACTTATACTCAAAACTATTCAAAAACTTTAAGAGTACATATGAAAATCTTGAGTGGAGTAATTCGTTCCTGAATGCCGCCTAGACAATGTGGTATTTATGAAACTTTATTCCATTAGGTTTTTCATGCAAGTCCTTAATTCATTTGAACAATGGGATTAATAACTAATGGATGAAAAAGTATATTAGTAAATTAGGATCTTAAATATAAACAGTCGCATCTAAGCTCTGCCTAGATATTGAAAAGTCATGGTAGTTTCATTATACTTAAGAACCGAACTTTAAAATTGTATTTTATCACTTTACATAACATTCATTGGCATACATATGTTATCATGTTTCGTTGGCAATCATTTGCATTTCTCTGTCTTTAATTTTTATTTACTACTTGATGATAAAACATTTTATAAAAAACATTTTTTTTAAAATTATGACATTATAAAATAAAACAAAAATAATATTTTGAAAGAAATAATTCTCGGTACTCTACCTAGATGTTGGAGAGTCACTAACAATTATTTTCTATAAAGAGTATTATTTCATTTTAAGGAATATTGTGTTAAATCTAAAGCAAAATGAGTTATTTTTAAATTCTACTTAAATGTCAAAAAATTTTAAGATAATTCATTAACTTAAAGATTTCCTTAAAATTCCTAAATATAAAAATTTAGCAAAATGTTATTTTTTAAAATGAAGGAGATTATTATTAAATTTCAAACCAAAATCATTTCATCCAATACCGAAAATAGTACATAATTAAACGATACCAATTAAATGGCACTGTGGAGATGCTACTCATTCCTTACACGTAATCGACTTTCGAACCCAATTTAACTTTTGTAGATTGAAATTTATCTTTTTGATAAACTTGAAACACGCTTTTATAGTTTTATTAAAAAGATAAACTTTTGAGTAACCATTACATCCTAAAATAATTGGTGATGACTCCTTTTATTTTTTTTGATTTTAGAATTATGTACGTTTGACGGTCCCAAAACCATTATAACAATCATAATATTTGTATGTTAGAAAAATGGTGTGTCATTTTGGCCCTGCGTGGCTACCGCGTTTAGTTCGTTCTATCACCTACAGCAGGCAAAATTTTCCTTCTTCCATACAAGTTTGGTAAAAAAAAAAAAAAAAAACTTCAAAGTTACTCTCTATTTTAATAAAGTGTATTATGTTTACAAACATTTTCTTTTCTTCAATGTAAATTAGTCACATTTATTGACATGTGGATCTCACATATTTATTCACATGGTGAGATTTTGTGTTAAAAAAAAGAATCAAAACATTCGTGAAGGCAGATTCACTTTTTAATAATTTCTTCTGTTGAATTTTTTTGCTAAACAATACTTGAATGACAACTTAATTTAAATGAAATGTGTAAATCCATTGTCCTAAAGTAAATCTATTGTCCCAAAGAACCGCTTTTAATTGTTTGGATGCAAATTTATTAAAAGATTATAAAAAAAAAACTTTTCATAAAATTTATTAAATTCAACTTAAATTTATATATTAAATCAATCTGAAAAAAAAAATTGAGCTGAACCGAAAGTCTCTTACAGCTAAAAAACAATTTTAATTCAGTGTATAAAAAGATACTCAACCCAAGACCTATCTAGGGTGGGTAACCTAACTTGCCCCGACGGGTTTCGACCCAACCCGAGCCCATAAGATTGGATTTTTTTTTTTTAAATCGAGTTTCGGGTCAAGTCGGATAGGATTCGAGTTTTAGATAAATTCGATCCGGTATTATATAAAAATAATTTTTTTAATTAATTTTTTATTTATATATATTTATATAATTATATATTTAAAATTTATATTTAAAAAAATAATTTTTTATATTTAAAAAATAATATTTTATTAATTTCGAGTCAAGTCGAATCAAATACAATTTATATAATATCAAATTGAATCAAATTCAAGATAAAAAAAAATTCACTTTGATCTGACCCGTTGCCAATTTTAGATCTACCATGCAAAGTGAATGTTGACTCCAACTTTGAAACATTTGTTGGAACCCTCGCTCGTATCCATTAAGCAGCCCCAAGATGTCTTTCGGTTGCATAAAGTCCAATGTCATTCAAATTTCTAGGATAAAAT